GGAGAAGGGAAGAGAGGAGAAGAGACTTTTCTTGTCAAAAGGTCGCAAAAGGTGACAGCAATGACCCCAGGAAGCTGCAGCCGTCAGAAATATGAACCGGTTGCCAAACATCTGAATTTTGATCACATAATCATAGGGATGCTATAAAGGACAAAAAAGATCATATCACTTTTTTCAGTACCATTTGAACTTTGAACCATCACTAAACACACCGTTGTAAGTTTAAGACTACCTGTACCATTTCAGACAAATGGTTGTCCAGTCTCTTCTTAAAAACTTCCAGTGTTGGAGCATTCACAACTTCTGGAGGCAAGTCGTTCCACTAATTAATTGTCCTCACTGTCAGGAAATTTTCTCCTTAGTTCTAAATTGCTTCTCTCCTTGATTAGTTTTCATCCATTGCTCCTTGTCCTGCCCTCATGTGCTTTGGAGAATATCTTGACTCCCTCTTCTTTGGGGCAGCCCCTGAGATATTGGAGACTGCTATCATATCTCCCTAGTCCTTCTTTTCATTAAACTAGACATGCCCAGTTCCTGCAAACCGTTCTTCGTATGTTTTAGCCTCCAGTCCCCTAATCATCTTTGTTGCTCTTCTCTGCACTCTTTCTAGAGTCCCCACATCTTTTTGACATCGTGGCAACCAAAACTGGATGCAGGTCTTCCAAATGTGGCCCTACCAAGGCATTATAAAGTGGTATTAACACTTCACCTGATCTTGATTCTATCCCTCTGTTAATGCAGCCTACCACTGTATTGGCTTTTTTGGCAGCTGCCACACATAGCGGAAATTTTGAGTAGTTCGGAGAACCGCCAAACGTCCACCTGGCTGGCCCCAGAGTGGGGTGTGAATGGAGATTTTGCAGTATCCTTCCCCTGGAGTGGGGAGGGAATGGAGATTCTGCATTATCCTTCCCCTGGAGTGGGGAGGGAATGGGGATTTTGCAGTATCCTTCCCCTGGAGTGGGAGGGAATGGGGATTTGCAGTATCCTTCCCCTGGAGTGGTGAGGGAATGGAGATTCTGCAGTATCCTTCCCCTGGAGTGGGGAGGAATGGGATTTTGCAGTATCCTTCCCCTGGAGTGGGAGGGATGGGGATTTGCAGTATCCTTCCCCTGGAGTGGGGTGGGAATGGGGATTTTGTAGTATCTTCCCTTGTCACACCCACCAAGCCCGCTCACCAAGCCACACCATGCCACAACAAAGCCACCCACAGAACCGGTAGTAAAAAAAAAAAATGAATTCCACCACTGGCGGCTACACAAATCGAATAAATGAAATTAACAAATCAATAAAATAAAAAATGATTGGCCTCCCCAACTAAATTAGAAAGAAACGATGAGACTGAAGTTTACAGGTGAGATGCTAACCAGGTTAGAATATGTGACATCAGCTGCCTTTCGTAAAAGTATTGGCACATATCCTTACCCGAGGCAAATACTGTATTTATGAACAGCCAAAATTAGGGAATGTTGTGATCAGAAGGTGGTGGGTTTTTTTGGGAGGGGCAGTGTTGGAACTGAACTGTGTGCCTAGCTCCTTGGGCAAACTTCTGCTTACTTAGGAAAATGTTTTGATTTATTTATTTTCTCTTTGAAAACCAACCTTTTGTTGCCATTAGGGGGAGCTTTTGTGATCTTCCAAGAAGCACATATACACAAACACAGAGGTGTGTGTTGTGTTTATATACAAATACTCAACATCCACCCCCCCCCCTCACAGATAGAGACAGGCTTGTCCTTCAACCCTAAATACCCCCATCTCAGGCACAGAGGTCTCTCAAAACTCCTGGCTTTGTTAGGTACCTGTGAATTTATGATTTGGGGGAAGGAAGATAGAAGACAGGTAAGGAACCGAGTCCAGGGAGAGGCAAATGTGCTATTTGGAAGGAAGGAAGGAAGGAAGGAAAGGAAAGGAAAGAAAAAAGAAAAGAAAAAAGAAAAGAAAAGAAAAAAGAAAAAAGGAGGAAGGCGAGAGAACGTTTTTTAAATCTTTTTTTCACTTTAAAAATTCACCCTTGCCCAATTTCTGTTTGGTGTTTTTCAAATTAGAAACTTACAAATTAAATTAATATTTTTTTCTCTCTCTGTGTGTGCCTGTCTGTCTCTCTCTTCCCCCACTCTCTCTTTCACCCTTTCTCTTTCTCTCTCCCTTCCTCTCTCTCCCTTTCTCTTTTCTCTCTCTTTCTCTTCCTCTTTTCTCTCCCTTTCTCCCTCCCTCTCTCTCTTTCCCCCCCTGTTTCTCTCTCCCTCTCTATCTTTCTCTCTCCCTTTCTCTTTTCTCTCCCTCTCCCTCTCCCTCTTTCTTTCTCCCTCTCCCTCTTTCTCTCTCCCTATCTTTCCCTTTCTTTCTCTCTCTCTCTCCCTTTCTCTTTTCTCTTTCTCTTCCTCTCCCTCTTTTCCTTCCCTGTTTCTCTCTCCCTCTCTATCTTTCCCTCTTTCTTTCTCTTTCTCTCTCTTTCTCTTTTTCTCTTCCTCTCCCTCTTTTCTTTCTCCCTCTTTCTCTCCCCCTCCCCCCTTTCTTTCTCTTTTCCTCTCCCTCTCCCTCTTTTCCCTCCCTGTTTCTCCCTCTCTCTTCCTTTCTTTTTCTCTCCCTTTCTCTTTTCTCTTCCTCTTCATCTCCCTCTTTTCTCTCTCCCTCTCTTTCTCTCTCCCTCTCCTTCTCTATCTTTCTCTTTTTCTTTTTCTCTCTCTCTCTCCCCACCCCCAATTTGCCTGAAAAGCCATAAAGCAGCTTTTAATGTCCTACTCTCTGACTTTGTACCTCCAGTTTCCCAATGAAGGAATGAAGTGTGTATTCTCCTCCAGGATAATCTGATGAGAATCTCGGATTTTAAGTAATGGATTAGCTACAGTGAAGGGGACACCCACCCTCAAAGACTTACGTCTCTGTGTGTGTGTGTGTGTGTGTGTGTGTGTGTGTGTGTGTGTGTGTCTGTGTGTCAGACTGGCAATTGCATAACTTTGGAGGGAAGAAGAGGGGAAGAAGAAAAATTAAGGCAGAGAGAGGCAGGGAAGAAGGAAAGAAAGAGAAAGCACTTTTTTTTTAACTTTAAAAAATATATGGGTGTCAAGTTTCAAGACTTTTTTTACTTGCTGTGGGACAATAAAAATTTAAAAAGGGGGGGGAGGGAGCTCGTACCAGCACTGGGGAGGGGGTGTGGTCCATCCAAAGTGAGGGCAATTCTTGGTGGCCAAGAATATGAGCTTTGGAAGGATCTCAAAACAGAGGTGGAGGTGAAATGTTACAAGGGAACTTTTCTTCTTCTCTTCTTTCCTTCTTCTTCTTCTTCTTTCTTCTTCTTCTTTCTCTTCTCTTCTTCTTCTTCTTCTTCTTCTTCTTCTCCTTCTCCTTCTCCTTCTCCTCCTCCTCCTCCTCCTCCTCCTCCTCCTCCTCCTCCCTCCAATTTGAATTTCTCTCGGAATAAAAGCCGTCCCAAGTGAGGATGGGGCCTGAAGACTTTAATCTGGCTCTTCTTTTTCTAATCCCTCCCCCCCTCCCTTCCCACCGTTTTCTCCAAAGTGATGGATTAGTCATTTCTCTTTGCTGGGTGGGTATCTTCCTCCTTTTTTTTTTTTTTGGGTGGGTGGGGGTGGAAAGAAATCTCTCCCCCCCCCCCAAAAAAGAACAGGACCCGGCCAGCAATTTCTTATTCACTCATCCTCTTGTCTACCTTTCTCTCTTTTCTTTCATTTAAGTGGGAAAGAAAAGAGGGAGGGGAGCTGATGAAGATGATGGGGAGGGAAGCTGAGAGAATGAGAGGGGGGGCAGGGAGGGAGAAGAAGAGAGGGAGGGAGTGGGAAGGAGAAAAAGGGAGAGGGGGAGAGAGAAGAAGAGAGAGAGTGGTGAGAGAGAGAGAGAGGGTGGGTTTGGGAAAGAGAAAGAGAGGGGGAGAGAGGGAGGGAGGGGGAAGGAGAAAGAGAGAGAGAGGGAGAGGGGGGAGAGAGGGAGAAGGAGAGGGTGGGAGGGGAAGGGAAAGAGGGGAAGGGGAGGGAGAAGGAGAAGAAGAGAGGGGAGAGGAAAAGGGAGAGGGGAGAGAGAGGGAGAGAAAAAGAAGAGAGTGGGTGAAAGGAGAGAGGGTGGGTTTGGGAAAGAGAAAGAGAGGGGAGAGAGGGAGGGAGGGGGAAGGAGAAAGAAGAGAGAGGAGAGGGGGAAGAGAGGAGAGGGAGAGAGGGTGGGAGGGGGAAGGGAAAGAGGGGAAAAGGGAGGGAGAAGGAGAGGGAGAAAGAGAGGGAGGAAGGAGAAAGGGAGAGGGAGAGAGAGGGAGAGAGAAGAAGAGGGAATGAGAGAGAGGGTGGGTTGGGGAAAGAGAAGAGGGAGAGAAGGGAGGGTGGGAGAAGAGGGAAAGGAGAGAGGAGAGAGAGAGAGTGAGGGGAAGGGAGTGAGGGAGGGAGAAGGAGAAAGAGGGAGCGGAGAGGGAGAGGGAAGGAGCGGGACAAGAAGAGGGAGAGGAGAAGAGAGAGAGAGAAGATAAATGAAATGAATCGGAGCATCTCACGCGCGCGCCGGACTCTTTGAGTGGCTGTTGCTGGTTCAGGGGGAGCCAACGGGGGGCCGCGAAAGAGAGGCGGTTAAATTTCATTTTATTTTGAGAGGGTGGGTGAAGAGGGGGAAAAAAAAAAGAAAAAGAAAAAAAGAAATCGCGAAGCCGGAGGGTGTGTTTTTGTGTGTGTGTGTGTGTGTGTGTGTGTGTGTGCGTGCGTGCGGGTGGGAGAAAGACGCTCGGCTGTGGTGGTGGGGGGGGAGGCAAGAGAGAGAGAGAGAGAAAAAAAAAAGAGGGAGAGAGAGAGAGAGAGAGAGAGAGAGAGAGAGGAAGGCAAGGGAGAAGGGTTATAAAAAGCGCGAGTCGCCAACAAGGGCGAAGGAGAGGAGAGGAGAGGAGCCGGGGAGAGAAGTCCTGAGAGCGAGCAAAAGAAACCCAAAAAGAAGAAGAAGAAAAAGAAGAAAAAGAAGGGGGAGAGAGAAAAAAAAAAAAAGAAAGAAAAGAAAAAAAGCCGCGAGGAGGAGCTCGCAAACTGGCAGCCCGCGCGAGCGCTCGCCAAGGCAGCCGCGGGCGAAAGCACGCGCGGCGATGCGGCGCTGGGCTCTCCTGCTCCTGCCTCTCGCGGTCGTGTGCGCGGCGGCGGCGGCGGCGGCGGCAGCCCACGCCACCGGCGGCCACGGGAGCCCCGGCGGGGGCGCCGAATGCGGGCTGGAGGAGCGCTCCCGGCGGGCGAGGCGAGCCACCCGGCGCCAACAGCACCACCAGCAGCGCACGGCACCAAACGCTTCTGGCGTTACCCCGCGCCGGGCACCTGCGCCACACGGTTAGCCCGGGGTAGGCGCTCTTCTTCCATTTCGGCGGCCGGAGCTTTGGAAGCGCCCCGGGTCCCCCGGCGGAGGAGGCGAGCTCAGGACGAAGCCCCGGGACCAAACGAGGGTCGCCGGCCCCTGACCCCACCGAGCAGGGCGTTTTATTTCCGAGGCCAGGGCGAGCAGCTGCGCTTGAAGGCGGAGCTGGAGATACCCCGGGATGCTTTCACCGTCCAGGCTTGGTTGCGGCCCGAAGGGGGCCAGAAGGCGCCGGCTGTGATCGCAGGTAAGAAAGGGGAAAGGAAAGAGGGGTGGCCCCGTTTGGCGCTGGCCGAAGTTTGGAGGGCGCACGGTTGGGGAATGACAGGGGAAGCGCGCGGGCGAGGGGGGGGGTCCTTTTGGCGCTGGATGAAGTTTGGCGGGCGCACGGTTGGGGATGACAAGGAAGGCGTGTTTGTGTGTAAGAGAGAGACACAGAGAGAAAGGGGGAGAGAGAGAGGGAAGGAGGGAGGGAGAAAGAGAGAGACAGAGAGAGGGAGGGAGGGAGAGAGACAGAGGGAGGGAGGGAGAGACACAGAGAGAGAGACAGAGAGAGGGAGGGAGGGAGAAAGAGAGAGACACAGAGAGAGACAGAGAGAGGGAGAAAGAGAGACACAGAGAGAAAGGGAGAGAGGGAGGGAGGGAGACACAGAGAGAGACAGAGAGAGGGAGGGAGGGAGAAAGACAGAGGGAGGGAGGGAGAGAGAAAGAGAGACAGAGAGAGAAAGGGAGAGAGAGGGAAGGGGGAGAGAGAGAGGGAGAGAGGGAGGGAGAGAGGGAGAGAGAAAGAGAGAGGGAGGGAGAAAGAGAGGGAGGAGGGAGAGAAAGAGGGAGGGAGGGAGGGAGAGAGACGGAGGGGGAGAGAGAGAGAGAGAAAGAGAAAGGGAAGGGGAGGGAGAGAGAGATTTGGCACTGCCCGAAGTTTGGCGGGCGCAAGGTTGGGGATGACAGAGCGAGGCGTGCGACGGGGGGAGGGGGCGAAGGGCTGTTGTCCTTTCGGCGCTACTCCAATTTGGCGGGCGCACGGTTGGGGATGGCAGCTGCGCCCGGGCGCTTCTCTCGGTTTGGGGACGGTGGCTCCTCGGCTGCCGCCGAAGAGACGCGCGCGGGGCGGTGGGTGGGGTGGTCCCGAGCGGGGTCTCGGCGTGGGAAGGGGACGCGGGTGGCATTGCCAGGGAGCGGCGGCGGCGACAATAACAACAACAACACAGCCACGTGGTGTTGTGTCTCGACGTACACACGCCCTGGCTTGTCTGGTTATTTTTTTGTGAATGAGTCGGAGAGACCCCCGCGAACGTCTCTCCGCCCGTTTTCCCACCACGCGGGGAGTGGATTTGCCGAGCCGATGCGTCTGGCTCTGGGCTCCCTTTCCTTTAGTTGGCCGTTTACACCTCCGATGCTCCTCGCCTTTGCGACTCCGGGGAGTTAGCAGCTTTGAATCTGCAGCCCGGAGGAAGGAGCGAGGCTAGGAATATCTATCTATCTATCTATCTATCTATCTATCTATCTATCTATCTATCTATCTATCTATCTATCTATCTATCTATCTATCTATCTCCCAACCGGGAAGGGATGGAGAGGGAAGGAAGGAAGGAAGGAAGGAAGGGGAGGAAAAGAAACGCAGGGAGCCCCTTTCGCCTCCTTGCCCGGGACCCCGTAGCGGCAGCTGGGGGATTTCCGTCGCCCATCCTTGGGGACACCCCCCCTTTCCCCCGTTTCCAAGGACACCGATTGGCCTCGGGGGCACGTCTGCATGCGCCCAACGGGAGTCAGCGCCGGGGAACCGCGGGAGCTTGGCTCCTGCATCCAATGACGCACAAGATCGCGCGCGCCTCTTTCCTGGGCGGGGAGAGGAGAGGAAAAAAATAAAAAATTAAAATAAAATAAAATAAACCCTCAACCCTCATTTTTCACCCCTTATTGGCGTCAAGTTAAGTTTGGGAGAGCCTCCCCTCCCCTCCCCGTGAATTCCTAAACTAGCCCTAGTTCAATGAAATCATAATCCGCTAGTTTCTAGGTTTTTTTCAGGCAGGCAGCAAGCATCCTGCTGCCCATTGGGAGACTAAGGAGACTAGTGTGATTTCACTGAACTAGGGCTGCATAAAAATCTTGGTTTACGTAGGAGGAACCTGGCTAAAGAGAAATACACATAAAACCCTACGAAAAGAAAACAAATACTGTACCTTTACAGGGAGGATACATGAGATGAGGGTGTGGCTAACTGATGAGGACTAAGAAGTCCGAAATAGATCTATCTTAGTCTCCTTAGTCTCCCAATGGGCAGCAGAGTGTTTGCTGGCTGCCAGAAAAAAAAAGCCTAGAAACTAGAGGATTGTGATTTCATTGAACTAAAAATCTTGGTTTACGTAGGAGGAACCTGGCTAAAGAGAAATACACATAAAGCCCTACGAAAAGAAAAGAAAAAACAAATACTGTACCTTTACAGGGAGGATATATGGGATGAGGGTGTGGCTAACTGATGAGGACTAATAAGTCCGAAATAGATCTATCTTAGTCTCCTTAGTCTCCCAATGGGCAGCAGGGTGCTTGCTGGCTGCCTGAAAAAAGCCTAGAAACTAGTGGATTGGGATTTCACTGAACTAAAAATCTTGGTTTACGTAGGAAGAACCTGGCTAAAGAGAAATACACATAAAGCCCTACGAAAAGAAAAGAAAAAACAAATACTGTACCTTTACAGGGAGGATACATGAGATGAGGGTGTGGCTAACTGATGAGGACTAATAAGTCCGAAATAGATCTATCTTAGTCTCCTTAGTCTCCCAATGGGCAGCAGAGTGTTTGCTGGCTGCCAGAAAAAAAAAGCCTAGAAACTAGAGGATTGTGATTTCATTGAACTAAAAATCTTGGTTTACGTAGGAGGAACCTGGCTAAAGAGAAATACACATAAAGGCTGATGAAGGAGGGGTGGGGAGGGAGGGTGATGGGGGGAGGGAGAGGGGATGGAGGGACCTTCGAGATTTGGCTTGGGGTGCCTCCACCCCCCCACACACACACCCCGGTTCCCCCTTGCGAGGTTCAAGCGATCCGCAGAAACCTTTCGCTACCAGCCCTGCCGTGTGGCTTGCTTTCCTCTGGATGTGTGAGTGTGGCTTTTTGTCAAAACAGCTTGACAATTGTGGTTAACCTTCGCAAGGGGAACTTTTAATGGTGTTCCGGAGTCGATCCGCGGGTTGCGCGCATGGCGGCTGGGGGCAGGTAGCTGTCAGTCACAGTACCAGAGATGGAAGGGACCTTGGAGGTCATCTAGTCCAACCCCCTGCTTGCGCAGGAGACCTGTACCAGGGTTTCGAACCGCCGAACTCCTGACCTTTCTGATCGACAAGCTCAGCGTCTTAGCCACTGAGCCACCTAGTCAGGCTAATCAATCTAGTCAGAGCCCCCCCCCTTCCCCACACCAAGAAAACCTCGCTTGGCATCCTAACCTCAAATCAACCAAGTCATTACGGAGGGGGGAGGTTTACGATCCCCCCCCCACCAATCGTGGCTTCTGTTGTCAGCATTAGTTTTCCTCTGCCCCCTCCCCACTTCCTGCCTTCATACGCCTTCCCGTTACTTTCCTGCTGTCTCTTAAACGGGCTGGGGATGATGGGTGCTGGGCTCCACCTCCGAGAACACCTTTTTTGAGGGATAAGGCACAGCCTGGCTCTTAGTGCTGGGGCGGCGATTTAAGCATAAACATATGCAGACAGGTTTTTTTTTTAAGCATTTTTGAAATTCCTTCCAATTTAGCGACTGTAAAGTCTCTTGCTGCCAGGCGAAAGCGCTTGTTTCCTTCCACCAACCTCCTTCTCTTTATTTGGGTGGTTGAAGAAGGGAAGGCTGGGGAGTTGCCAAATAAATAAAAAGTGGGGGGAGAGGGGATTGAAGGATTGGCTGACCCTGCCACCCATCCACCTCCCTTCCAGGGAAGGCTTGCCTGGGTGTGCTAAGCATCGCAATTGAAGGGCTGCCCTGAATCGGACCAGCTGGAAGAATGGGGTTGAATCCTGAAGCTGGCCAGAGTTCTTGGAGTCTCCTTTGATATCAGTAAAAGGAGAATATTTGTAGCTCAGGGTTGAAACCAGAGGTCCTTGGTGATCTCTGAGCTTTGTGGTTTTCTTGCAGGCTTTCCATGAGTCAGTAGCATCATCAGTGCTAAGAGGGAGTTGGGTTTACGGGGGGGGGGGAGGAGGAGGAGGAGGAGGAGGAGGAGGAGGAGGAGGAGGAGGAGGAGGAGGAGGAGGAGGAGGAGGAGGACAACTGTGGACTCCTTGATGCTCTCCGAGCTTGGGGTTTTCTTGCAGATGTTTCAGGACCCAAAATTGGTAGCATCATCAGTGCTAAGAGGGAGTTGGGTTTACAGGGGTAGAAGAGGAGGAGGAGGAGGAGGAGGAGGAGGAGGAGGAGGAGGAGGAGGAGGAGGAGGAGGAGGAGGAGGAGGACAACTATGGGGTCCTTGATGGTCTTTGAGCTTGGGGTTTTCTTGCAGATGTTTCAGGACCCAAAATTGGTAGCATCATCAGTGCTAAGAGGGAGTTGGGTTTACAGGGGAGGAGGAGGAGGAGGAGGAGGAGGAGGAGGAGGAGGAGGAGGAGGAGGAGGAGGAGGAGGAGGAGGAGGAGGGGGGGAACTATGGGGTCCTTGGTGCCCTCTGAGCTTGGGGGTTTTCTTGCAGAGAAGTTTCATGACCCAAACTAGGTAGCATCATCAGTGCCAGTCCTAGTTGGTTACACAGTTTCGGTCATGAAACTTGCCTGCAAGAAAAACCACTAAGCTCAGAGAGCACCAGGGACCCCTCTCCTTTGATATCCCTACACCAACCCCGCAGAGCTGGGTCTTCAAGATGGGATGGTTCTGCTTCTGACAATTAGTTGGGCAAAGTCTCCTAGCTTCCTTCTCTTGCTCCAGAGACCCACTGTAATTAAGAGGTGCCCTCCCGCTCCTTTGAAGAAGCTTGGGTTCAAATTCGGCAAGGCCACTGAACAAGTTGGTCCTTGCCAAACTCAACCCTCCTCCTGTCCCATCCATCCATCCATCCACCCATCCATCCATCCGTCTGTCCATGCAGTGCTTCTTTTAAAAGACTCCCATGCTCTTCCTGGCTATTTGAAGGATAGTTAGAAAACTGGTGACAGACACAGAGATTTCTGAAATGATCCATAGATCAGGAATGGCTTTATTCTTTTGGTGTTATTAGGAACGTTTTATTTGTCGGCTGGGTTGGTTGGTTGGTTGGCTTGCATCCCT